AGAAAGGTGATAGTCACACAGTCATTAGATAATTGCTGTCACCTGCAAAACCAAATCTCCCGAGAAAGTCTGACAGGTCCTGAGGTCTCTGATGCTGGCTTGGCACAAAGGCTGGACCTCTTACAAGAAACAGCAACAGCCTTTTTTACTGGGCCACAAAGCTACAAGTTCTAAACCTCCATCTAAAATTTGTTTCAGTGTAAGCTCATAGGTAGTGCTAAAACTTCAACTTCTCTGCAAACCTGTGGGATGCTGCCTGTTGTGGCTGTACCTCTAGGCTGGAAGCACCTTGGTCACCCAAATCTAAAAGCCTATCCTCAAAGCCAACACCTTCAAATCAAACCTCCTCCCACTCCTTGTTATACTTGAGTAGCTGATGCAGGATCTACATACTAACTTTGCTTTTCTGCCACTGGCAGTATAAAACTTAGCAGAAACCCTGTCAGCCCAGAACACATTCAGAGCAAGCCCAAACCAGTCCAGTGCCTCAGCTGAGTCAGTGCAAACCTCAGAGGTGTCATTTTTTCCAGACCTGATCCTGTTTAGCAGTATATGGACCCTGGCTGCAACCCTAACTGCAGGGCCAGAGCTCAGACCTAACTCAGTCACAAGCTCTCAGGCAGACCCTTCCCAAGTAACTTCCCACAAATGCTTTTTTGCTGCACAGGTGCAACATAAAACCACACCTGTGTTTGTGCACACCTCCAGGGATGCCTGTCACATCACCTGGCACCCTTCCCAAGTCTTTCGCGATGTAGTTCCTGGAAAAGCTCCCAGGTCCTTTGCGTTGCACATGAGCCTCCAGCCCATCTTTTCCTCCCGTTGCCTCATGTCTGCAGATCTCGAAGTTGCCAGTAGATGGTACAAAATATCCACACATTGGTTGCCAGGCTTCCCGTTCCACCCTCCAAACAACGTCTGGTTATAAGCTTGTGAAGCGTGGTCTCCATGTAGGTGTCGATCTGCTCTGATTATGCAGCAGCACATGTTGGCCCGCTGTGAGCACAAGGCAATTCACCATTTGATTTTAACGTGGAATTCCCAGGAAAAAAAAAAAAAAAAAAAAAAAAAAAAAAAAAAAAAAAAAAAAAGGTTTTAAAAAAAAATTTAAATT